TTTTTTTTTTTTTTTTAGGGACAGGGTCTATGTTGCCTAGTCTGGCAAACTAGACTAAAAACTAATTTTTTTACTCTATCCTTTTAGTTCTGTACCACCCATTTTCTTTGGTATTTTGGTTTGGTTTGGTTTATTTTTTTGGAGACAGATTCTAGTTCTGTTGCCAAGCTGGAGTGCAGTGGCATAATCTTGGCTCACAAACTTGGCTCACTGCACCCTCCACTTCCCGGGTTCAAGCGATTCTCCTGCCTCAACCTCTTGAGTAGCTGGGATTATAGGTGCATGCCACCACACCCGGCTAATGTTTGTATTTTTAGTAGAGACGGGCTTTTGCCACATTGGCCAGGCTGGTCTCAACAGTCTCACAAACTCCTGGCCTCAAGTGATCCTCCCTAAGCCTTCTAAAGTGTTGGGATTACAGGTGTGATCCCTGGCCTCAAAATTATATTAATGTCTGTTAGTTAACCTGAATTGTTTGTGCGTTTCTTATTGGTTTTAACCCCAGTTGTATACAAGAATGCAAAAATATTTTCAAGCCCTATCATTTAGTTCTAAAATATACCCAACCCACATTTATAGACTGCTGACTAACTTGAATGTTTGCACAAGCATTTCTGCTATGATGCCATGTGTACCTAAATAAAACTCACAATCTACAAAATCACATACTAAATTAACAGGGCTATGGGAAAAAGAGTTATAGGCTTATCTGTCGAAATCTATAGACTTTTGAGACTAGAAAGTACTAAAAAACAGCAATAATCTAATATAAACAGTACTACTGTTAAATTGTTCTGCTAGCATCATAGTCTGTGAATCCTTTGCAGCCTGAAGCCCTGGGACCTGTGCTTCTTTCCTTCCTAAGATGCAAGTACTTGATTCATTTGCTTCTCATAGAGATCAGATGCATCAGAATTAAAAATGTATTTCAGGATGGCAGGAAGGGTCTAAGAGATGTCTCTGCAACTTCTTCAACTGCATTCTGATTCCTCAGATAGCTTACTATAATGGAGTAAATTAAACATTGTTGAAGCCCTTAAACCAGCCATTCTAAAGGAAGCAGTTTTTAAGATTTTCAGCTTTGTTATTAAGGTCTTACATAGCTAAGGGTTCTCTTTGATTATGAGAAAAGTTATCCCTGATAGCTTCAAAATAATACCTTGTTGGGAAAAACTGCATTCCATAAATAGACACTGTAGAACAGATTGTACCTTTCTTGGCATCTTGCATTTGTTTCATGATCTCCTCTCTTTCTGCTTGTTCAGTGGCTGTTGTAACACGGAACGATCCTTCTCTTGTAAAAGTGGTCCGACTAGCATCAAAAGTAGCAGTCACTCCACATTCCTTCTCCCGCTTCTGCTTGCGCTCTAAACAGGCTGCAAAAGCGCAGCCTACTGCATGGCTCAACCTTTCACCCTGTAGACAGCAGAAGGTTTTAAAAGCTTTTTCAGAATTACAGTACTAACAATTACATACAAATAAGTCCCCTTTTTTTTTTTTAAGACGGAGTTTCACTCTTGTTACCCAGGCTGGAGTGCAACGGCGCGATCTTGGCTCACCGCAACCTCCACCTCCTGGGCTCAGGCAATTCTCCTGCCTCAACCTCCTGAGTAGCTGGGATTACAGGCACG